TCACCATCATCGCCCCGTCCCATTCCTCGTCCTCCTCATCCCAGTCCTCCTCATCCTCCTCCTCCTCCTCCTCCTCCTCCTCCTCCTCCTCCTCATTCTCCTCATCCTCCTCCTCCTCCTCCTCCTCCACCTCCACCGTATCCTCATCCTGATCATGTTCCTCTTCGTCCGTATTCACCAGTGCCCCCCTTGCCCTCCTCGCCATCTGCGTCCTCACATCCATATTACACGTCATCCTCATAATGGATATCCTCCTGATCCTCGGCCTCAACGTCCACATCCTATCATATGTGTCAGCAGCCCCAATTGACGCCCTCATGTTTCGTCGCCGTCGTGACATCTGTCGCACGAGCAATCAGCATTACATCCGCGGACCGTCATATCCGCCGTGACCGCCATCTCGTCGTCAGCGCGTCGCCATCCGTTGCAGTCGTGCAGACGTCGTCATCATCATATCTGAGGCGCCATCACATTGAATCAACCATATCGGCTCAAACGGTGGCTCAAGCGCGTGAGAGGTGCGTACATCGTGCCCCGTGCTAGGTGTAATAGCTCTGGCGGTCGGCTGTGCAGCACAGCAAACTCCTAGCACGCCCTTGCGACGCGCGATACTGCCAGCACTATGCTGGCCGAGCAGCAAGAAGCCCACCACGAACGGCAGATGAACGGCCCCATCCGCACATCAAGATGTTCTCGGCGTCAGGCGACCTGCCAGGTCACCCTAATCAAAACTCAACGGTGGTCAACGGCACTCACTGAGGGCATTGAGTTTATTTTTGGTGGTTCTGAGCAGATCCGACAGTGAATTGTTGTGCTCACCAAAACTCAACGGTACTCAACGGTACTCAACGGTAAATCTCAATGGTGGCAGTGAGATCATCAGATCTATTTCCTATATGGTTTTTTTCGATGCAAAATAGATCTGGACCAAAACTCAACGGTACTCAACGGCCAAATCTCAATGCAAAACTCAACGGTCCCCTCAGGCCTACCGGAACCGAAAAAAAGCAATCGGAACCATCAAATCCACCGTTGTGAAAACTCAACGGTACTCAACGGCTGAATTCAATCATTAATTCCCATGTGTGACCTGCCACCGCTGAAAAACCCCTATGCGGTAGTTGTCACCACTACCTACGCGCCCTGCTGGATGCGCGCCGTCTGCTGGGCCAGCAAGATGCGCATCTGGGTCAGCAACGTCTTGATCAGCGGCTCGAGCATGGACGAGAACGTCGTGAAGTCGTCTTCGAGCTGCACCGCGGAGTCCGTCCCCTTCACCGACTTGTACATCATGTCGAGGTCCTCCGACATCATGCGACAGAAGATCTGCTTGGAGTTGATCGCCACCAGCAGCTCGTTGTGCGCCTGTTCGATGGGGCCGACGAAATCAGGCTTGTTTGCCCACGCCCAGAGCTGAGTCGACTGGATGTTCTTCGCGGGGTCGCCCTGGATCTCCCTGAGGAGCGTGGACGCGGCCGTCGTCTGGCAGGCGAAGCTCGCCTTGGTGTTCTTAGCCCGAGCCAGGGGCGTCAGCGCCTTCTTGGCGGCCCCCTTGGACGCGGCCCTCGGCTTGGCGGCTGGCTTGGCGGTGGCCCTCACCGCTGCTGCCGTTGGCGTTGCTGGCGCACCTGTCGATATCGGACCGCCTGCATCTGATGATCCTGCTGGTGCTGCCGACGCGCCGTCGTCATCCATTCCCTCGAACACCTGGGACTTCAGCCTCGCGAGCGTGGGCTTCTTGGGCGGCAGCACGTCCTCAGCACTGGCATCCTCGAGCGAGCGCTTGTTGGCGGCGCCCTGCTGCGACAACGACACCTTGTCGAGCACCTCATTCTTGGACGGCGGTCCCTCACCCATCACCGCGGAAGCCTTGGCCTCGCCCTGGCGCTTCTTGCAAGCGACCGCGGCGTCTCCTGCGAGCTCCTCGGCTGACGCGGGCACCGCCTCTCCCTCCCCCGTGTTTCTCCTGGCCCTCCTCCTCGCCCCCTCCTCCTCCCCCTCCTCCTCCTCCTCCTCCTCCTCCTCCTCCTAGTCCTCATAATCGTCATCATCATCACTCTCATCATTCTCGTCCTCTCACTCTCCCTCATCCTCCGCCTCGTCGGCATCCTCTTCCCCCCACATTCCCCCCCTCCGCCTCCTTCTCATCCTCCTCCTCCTCCCCCTCCTCATCATGGTCCTCATCACTCTCATCATCGTCCTCCTCCACATCCACATCCTTCTCCCCCTCCTCATCTTTCTCCCCCATCCTTCACCCTCCTCCCCCCCTCACTCCTCCTCCTCGTCCTCCGTCGTCATCCTCCTCATCCGTCATCCTCATCCCTCTCACCCTCATTCGCCTCGCCATCCTTCTCATCCTCCTCACCCTCCTCACTCTCCTCATCCTCAGCCCTGTTTGAATACACCCTGGTCACCCTGACGTCCTGGATCCCATCGAAGTCCTGGATCCCCGAAATCGGTGCGGCAATGGACACCGAAATCCAGAATCCCTGAAATCCTGGACCCCCGACGCCCTGGACCCCTCTAGTTTACCCGACGTCCTCCATCCCCGTGAACGCCGCCAAGCGATGGATGGCATCGCCCCCGTTGGAGATGGACGTCTTGCTCATCTCCCAGCTCTCTTCGAAGCTCTCGTCGGTGCCCTCCACCACGTACAGGTACTTCAGCTGCTTGGTCCACGACGAGTAGCGCACCCACACGCCGCCGATGACGTGGCAGCTGGGGCGATGTTTATGCAAAAAAAACATCATCATCACCAGCATCATCACCACTATCATTAGCATCACCATCATCATCACCATCATCATCATCACCATCATCATCATCGCCATCTCCATCCGCCACATCCACCTCCTCGACCCCCTGCTCACCAACATGTACATTTCATCATACATCACCCCCCGTCACCATCATCATCCTCAGCCACGCACGCCCCATCCTCAGTTCCCCCCCCCTCAAGCCTCCGTGATGCCCATCGCGCGTCCTCTATATGCTATCTGCTGGCGTGCCGCGCCTGCTCTGCTAATATACATTCCTCCATTGGCAGAACGGACGATCGACGGCGATGAGGTGGCGAGTGCTGAGGCAGCGGAAAGTAGACGGGGAGGACGGCGATGAGAAAGGCGGAGAAGGTGGCCGATGACGACTGAGGTGACTAGGGCGATAGGGAAGATATCACGCAAAAAATGCGCGGTCCGAAGCGCGTAGTTGAGCGCGGCCCTGGCCCCCGACTTGCCGCCGCCTTCCTCGACGGCGATCCGCCCGAGAGCATAGTTCGCAGTCCCGCGGTGCAGGAACCAGCGCACGGATGTACGGTGCGGCACACGCCGCGGCAAAAGTCAATGGTGGTCAACGGTGCCGTTGACCACCGTTGACTTTTGCAGCGGTGCCTTTCAGTACTGGTGCTCCCTTCCACCTCGCGGTGTTTCAGAGCGGGCGTCAGCCTCATGGATAGCGTCCCTCTTTGAACTCGCGCGTCTTCACGGCCTTGGTTGTCTTCCTGGTGAGGACGTACCTGTAGGCGAGCGGTGCATCGTTCTGTTCCCTCCCCAATTCACGTGGACTGGAGGCTGGATATGGAGGTAGGACGGTGCGGCAGAGGGGGGAGAGATCTAAGATGAGAAGGGTTGAGGAGAGAAGGGCGACGGACGATGGGGAGACTGAGGGGCAAGATGAAGAGGGGGAGGAGGAGGAGGAGGAGGAGCAGGATGAGGAGGAATCCTCTGACTCGTATGACGAGGATGCGGAGACTGAGGAGGAGGAGGAAGAGGAGGAGGAGGAGGAGGACTCTAGCTCGTATTCACCCTCATCCTCCTCCTCCTCCTCCTCATCCTCCTCCTCCTCCTCCTCCTCATCCTCAGCTTTAACAGGGTCACTCTTCGAAGCGTTCCTTCATGAACGCCGCGCGGAAGGCCTTCTTGTTGTCGGTCCCCTTCACGAGAGAGTACGCAGCCTTGTCCTTCGGGAACTTCGGGAGGAGCCGATCGAACTTGCCCGCGGCTGGGTTCCCCTGGGCTCCGCGAGCCTGAAAGTTGAACTGATCGGCGGCCAAGTCCATCCAGAACCTGTCAAGCTCGTTGTTCCTGTCCAATACGTTCTCGTCAGCAGCGTCGTCCTCGAGCTTCTGCGGGTCCAAAGCGTTGCCCTTGACGTCGGGTCCTGGCGCTACGCTGCTCAGCCCTGCTCACGCTTTCTCTTCGTCACTCCCCGCGCTCCCGTCCACGTCATCGTCCACGTCTCGCTCGTCTGTCCGTATCCATCTCAACTCGCATCCTCGTCATCCTCCTTCCCGCGTCGTGTCCCACGTCCTTCCCACGTATGCTCACATATACCGTACGTTCGTCGTTCTGTATACCGTGTCGTCCTCATCCCCCGAACCCCCTACCTCATTCCCTCCAATCCCCCCCTTTCTCCCACGCTTGCCCTCCATCAATCCATCCCTCCCTTCCTTCCGTGTCTCTACCCCGTCTAGTCGGTTCTTCACTTGTTATCTCCCTTGGCTCTCCAACTGCGATCACCTCCTCGATCCAGGATCCGTGCTGAGCCCATCGTCAGTCACGAGTCGTCGATGCGTCCGTCACCGCTTTGAGATCTCTCCCACTGGCGCGCAGGCACCGACTATCGAACACCGACCGCCAGCTGCGAGAGCATGCGCAGGCAAGCCCGCTCATCAAAAACTTGCGTAGCACAGAACGGATGAAAGGAAGAATACGGCAGTGGCTGTGTAGATGGGGGAGTACGAACGTGTGATCTACAGCATGTATTCGGATAGGCACGATGAGGCGGACGACGGCATAAAGAATGTGGCACATCTGAGACGACGATGTCGGGATACAAGGGGGATGAGTGAGAAGGGATGAGCAGACTGTGGGATCTGCCCGATGGCTCGACCTCGCGTTCGGCGGTATCATTACCTGCCGATAGCTAAATCGAGAGCACGCAAGCACCTAGCTACATGAATTGCGAGGGCATGAACTCAGGCAAGTCCCAGTCCAAGCCGCCCATGGAGTCGAAGCCGAGATCGTTGCTGGCGGCGCCTGCGCCGACGCCGTGGCCTGATGCACTCGAAGCTGCGCTCACTACTGGTGCCTCCTGCGCGGAGACGCTCGCGGACGGCTCCGAGCCAGCTGCTGCCACCACAGGCGCTGGCGTCGGCGTCGCGGCCTCGACGCCCTTGTCCTGCGCTGGGGCAGCGGCGGCAGGCTTGATCTCACCGCCTGCCCCTGCAGCGTCCACCAGGAGCTTGCCCCCCGCGCTCGCGGCGCCCTGCTCGCCTCCCTGGCTGGGAGCCTCGGCCGCGCCAGTCGGCGCTGCTGGCACCGCGGCTGCGCCCTCAGCCGAGTGCGTTGCATCGGGCTGCTTACTACGCTTCCTCAAGCGTGGTTCGCATGCCGTCGAGCCTTCTGCACCCTCCTCCTCCTCGGCACCACCGCCAGGCGTTGCTCCTGCAGCGTCGCCGCCTCCGCCGCTTGCAGGCGTCTCGTCGTCGACCGACGCTGGCCGCTTCTTCGCCGCAGCTTTCGCCCTCCTGACGACGTACTTCAGCTTCTCCTTCTCGGCGTCGTCCTTGCTCATCCCCTCCTCCGCCATGCGCCGCATGATCTCTTTCATGCCACTGTCTGCGCAACGGCGTTGCTCATCGGTGAAGTCCTTCACGACGAGCTGGAGCTTCTGCGCGTAGCCCTCGCCGAGGTCCGCTTTGATGAACAGCATCGTAGTGTTGCGCTGGTTCACCTCCTGCAGCCTCCAGACGTGCTCGCCATGGTGGAGCCGCGCGATCTCACCCTTCCAAGCACCGTCCACCTGGCGGCTCGCGGACGCCTCCAAGTGAAGAGACCTCACCGTCAGCGCTGGCACCTGCCACGCGCAACCGTCGCCCCACTTGGCGATCACGAGGTCGGACGGATCGGCCGTCGGCTCCGCCGCCAACGGGAGGCTGTGCTCTGGCTTCCCGAGCTTGCCACCTGCCAGCTTCTCCCTGCGCTCGGCCACCTTCAGGGGGGTGGTCGAGGCCAGACTGTTCGTGGACGACCCTGCCCACCCCTTCCAGGAGGAGGAGGAAGATGAGGATGAGGATGAGGATGAGGAGGAGGAGGGGGATGAGGAGGAGGAGGAGGAGGAGGAGGAGGAGGAGGAGGAGGAAGAGGAGGATGAGGAGGAGGAGGAGGAGGATGAGGAGGAGGAGGAGGAGGATGATGATGAGGAGGAGGAGGAGGAGCAGGTGGTTGTGGAACGATCTAACCAAGACCACCCCCGCCTGCAGGTCCTGCAAGAACTGGAACGCGTACTGCTTGGTGCCTGAGCCGCCTGTCGAGGCGGATGCCAGCGGCGCGGCCGACTCCAAGCTTGCGCCGTCGCCGCCAGATTCTTCATCTGCTGCGGGCTCCGCCTCCTCGTCGTCCTCCTGCTCTGCGTCGTCGTCATCCCCACACGCCTGCAGAGTCGGCACCATCAGCTGGAGCCACTCGGGTGCCGTCTGACCCGACTTCACCTTGGCGGCGGCCTGCGAGATGTCTCGCACTGCGGCCCTGATCCTCCTCGCCTGCTTCGCCGCCCATGATGGCGCCTCCGACGCGAGGTGCCGCGTCTCCTCGTTGGCCTCCGCCACGGCCGTCAGCGACTTCGCCATCATGCTCTGCGGGATCCCTGCAGGCACGCTCGACAGCCAGAGGTTGCTGACCAGCACGGCGTCGTCCCTGTCTCCCTGGAAGCTCTCGCGGTAGTTGAGCATCGTGGGCGACGACACCAATCGAGCCATGATGGTGTCGAGCTGGTGCTGCGTCGTCGTCGTCGGCTTCCGAGGCGCGCCCTTCTTGGGCTTCTTCGCCAGCGGAGCGTCCTCATCATCTGACATGATGGCCGACGTCGCCGAAAAGATCGAGCCAAAACGCGGCTATACGGATGAGAACGTGCGACTGAATGAACTGCGAGGGAGGTTCATGAAGGAGAGGAGCGGGACGACGAGGGCGGAAGGGGGAGGAGGAGAAGGAAGGATGATGAGGATGAGGAGGATGAGGAGGAGGAGGAGGGAGGATGATGAGGAGGAAGATGATGAGGAGGAGGATGAGAACGAGGACGACGACCATATAGCTACGCCAGTTCTCGTCCTCGTCGTACTCGTCATACTCGTCCTCGTCGTACTCGTCGTACTCGTCGTACTCGTCGTACTCGTCCTCGTACTCGTCGTACTCGTCCTCGCACTTGTCATCGTACGTGTCCTCGTTCTCATCCTACTTAAGTCGTACTCCTCCTCCTCCTCCTCGTCGTATGTCTGGCCTCCCATCATCCGCCATCCTCGTTGCCCTGTCCGCGCAGGCAACCGACGCCAACCACCTACACCGGTACGGAGGGGCGGGGCCGACATTTGCGACGACCGAGCTCGAACGTCAACGAAAGTCAACGGTGATCACTGCTACCAGTGATCACCGTTGACTTTTGCATCGGGTGGTGCAAGCACTGTGAGGGGACATCTTCGCGATCTCGCGTTGAATGTGTTCGGCGCTGAGGCGAGAGCGATCACCGTCGCGGCGCTGAGGCGAGATCGAATTCGACTGATGCGAGAGCAGGCAACAGCACGGGGTGCGATCCTCCAGCGCCCAAGAACTTCTCGTGGAGGCGATCGGCCATGAGGTCGCAGTCGTCGCCGTCCGAGATGCTGTGGACCGCGCCCTCAAGAAGCTCCTCTGCCTTCCGCGGGTCCAGCGTCTTGATCGGCGTGGCATCGTCACCTGGGCTGCGACGGCCCATCCTTCCATCGTCATCGCCCTCCTCCTCCTCCTCCTCCTCCTCCTCCTCTTCCTCCTCCTCCTCCTCCTCATCATCATCATCATCCTCAGCCTCCTCCTCCTCCTCCCCCTCCTCCTCATCCTCCTCCTCCTCCTCCTCTCCCTCCCTCCCTCCCTCCCTCCCTCTCTCCCTCCCTTCCCCTCCCCCTCCCTCCCTCTCCCTCTCCATCCTCCCCTCCTCGATCCGCCTCCTCCCTCCTCCTCATCCTCCTCCTCCTCCTCCTCCTCCTCTCTCCTCCTCCTCCTTCCCTCCTCCCTCCTCCCTCCTCCTCCTCCCTCCTCATCCTCCTCCTCCTCCTCCTCCTCGTCTCTTCGTCCTCCTCCTCCTCCTCCTCCTCCTCCTCCTCCTCCTCCTCCTCCTCCTCCTCCTCCTCTTCCTCCTCCTCATCCTCCCCCTCATCCTACTCCTCCTCGTCATCAGCGTCAGCTTAACTCCTCCATCATTCGCTACCCCAGCCCCCCTCACCACCCTCCCAACTTTCTCCATTGTCAGTGCTCCTCCTCATCATCAATCGACCTCTCCTGAAATGACCCACCGCCCCCTCCCCTGCGACAACGCACCCTCACCCCTACCGTCCCCCCGCACAAAAATCAAACTGTATGCACCTGCTGGAGCACCGTACGCGATGGTCGCCGCGTCCCGCTCGAGCGGCGTGCACGGGAGGGTGTTCCCGCTGAGGTCCGCGGGGGCGCCAGCCACGGTGGACGGCGTCTCGGGGAGGTTCGAGGCTGCAGGGACCGAGGAGGGCTGACACGACGCGGCCAGCGACATGCCGATGGGCGTCTTGCGCCAACCCTTGGGGATCGAGCAAGAAAAATTGAACTCGTCGGCTGGCGAAGCCGAGTCCACCTTGGAGCGGCGCTTCACCATGGCTCGAGCCAGTACAGCGGAGGAACGGATGCGTGAGGGGTGCGCCGATGCATGCGGCCATGGGTTTGCTCGTTCTCATTGTCTTCATCTTCCTCATCGTCCTCCTCTCCCTCCTCATCCTCTCCTTCCCCTCCTTTCCCCCCATCGTGTTCATTCTCCCCCTCCTCCACCCCGAGCACCATATCCTCCTCATCGCCCTCCCGCCCCGTTCCCGTACCCCCTTCCCTTTCTTAGTATGGCCCTACTCACCGTCGATCTCCCCGCGGAGAGGGGGGCAGAGCGAGACCGCAGGCACCGACAGACCGACGATGGCGCGTTGCTGCTACCGCTGGCTGTTCCTGCATAATGATAGCTATCTGCACGTCCTGCCCACCCGCCCATCCACCGATTAATCCGCCAACCCCTTTCGGGGCAGTCGGCATAATGCTTGAACTGATCCGCCAACCTCTCTGAGATAATCGGCGCAACAATGTACACTATATTGCGCTGGCGCGCGCTCAAGTTCTAGTTATGCGCGGCAAGCAAGCGGCGCTGATTCAATATAGACGTTTGCTCGCTGACATGATGGATACAAAAGAGCACACGAAAACAAACAAACTATAAAACGCATGTGGCTTGTTTTTCTATAGTTATGTAAAGACACATGCATATGTTTACAGAAAACAGCAAAATCACTAGCAGATCTATTTTTGTAGTTTGCTAATTCTAAGATCTATTTTTTAGATCTGGACGGCCTCAGGGTAGCATGGCGTGGCGACGCCCCAAAGTGGGGGGCCTCTGCGGCTCCAAAGAATCAACAATCCGACACCGAATGTGTAATCACTTCCGATGGTTTCTTCGGGAGGCCACTTTTTAGATGTTGGAGCCTTTTTGGAACGACCGAAAACCATGCCGTGGCATGGCGCTGGAAACAATGACGCCCGCGCGATTCGGAACGAGCGGCAACGCGGAAATGAGGCCAGCGCTGCAGCGGGAGCACGATTCGGAACGAGCGGTAGCCCGAAAATGAGGCCAGCGCTTCAGCGAGAGCAGCACTGCGAACAACAACCCAAGCGCGGAAACGCAAACATGAGTACGCGTAGCCTGACGTAGCACGGCGTGGCGACGCCCCACTGTGGGGGGGCTCTTGCGGCCCCCATAATCAACAAATCGACACCGAATGTGGAATCACTTCGGATAGTTTTTTTTCAGGGGGGGGGCATTTTCTATGGAAGGACCGAAAACCATGCCATGGCATGGCGCTGGAAATAACGTAGCACCCCGCAGATGCGGATAAGAGTGAGGGGGCGGTGGGGATGTTGGCAATCTGCGAGACTGCGGAGAAGCCCGCCGCAGGCGCCAACGTTTCACACCGCCGCAGGCGCAGATTTTTTCTTCAAATCATTGTGGATCGGTCGCGCGTGGGTCGCGAATTAATCGCGGGGTGGGTCGCGGGTGGGTCGCAAGTGGGTCGTGGGTGGGTCGCGGGCGGGTCGCGGGGGTCGCGGGGTGGGTTCGCGGGGTGGGTCGCGGGTGGGTCGCGAGTGGGTCGCGAGGTGGGTCGCGGGTTGGTCGCGAGCTGGGTCGCGGGTGGGTCGCGGGGTGGGTCGCGGGTGGGCGCAAGTGTGTCGTGGATAGTCGCGGGTTGGGTCGCGGGTGGGTCGCGGGTGGGTCGCGGGGTGGGTCGCGGGGTGGGTGGGGGGTGGGTGGGTCGCGGGTGGGTCGCGAGTTGGGTTCGCGGGTGGGTCGCGGGGCGGGTCGCGGGTGGGGTCGCGGGGTGGGCGCGGGTGGGTCGCGGGGTGGGTCGCGGGTGGGTCGCGGGGGGGACGACGACAACAAACAACAACAACAACAACAACAATCATTTTACCCTCATGCGCCATGCTTCCACATGACACATGCATCCATCTGGATAACACACCCCATCATGGGGGATTTTTCTGGCATGCGGGATCCGATATTCCCTCACCCAGATATCCCGCCCAAGAAGGTTTGGCCACCACCTCTTCCGAGGAACTTCAACATCCATAGCTCGGACGGCACATCGCCTTCGCAATCGCCTTGCGCATGCCCCGCATCTCAGAGGGAGAGGAAGAGGAAGAGGAGGGGGAGATGAGAGAGATAGGGAGGGGGAGGAGGAGAAGGGAGGGGGAGGAGGGGGAGGAAGGATGAGTAGTTGTAGTAGCAGCAGTTGATGATATTGTTGTTGCGGCTGTAGCACTAGTAGTAGTGGTAACGGTAGTAGTAGTCCAAGTAAGTAGAACTGGCTTGTGGCAGCCAAGCGTTCATAGCGACGTTGCTTTTTGATCCTCCTTTAATGTCTTCTCTCCCTATCCTTGAGACGCAGAAGTCTCAAA